TAACCGATTTTTCACAAGATTCATTGTAGAAAAAACCCTTTCAACAGTCGCAGTCGCAACTAATAAAATCAATGCAACTTTCACAAGCTTATACACCAACGTATGCAAAATTTCTTTTTTAAATCGAACTAAATTCTTAACCAAATCACCAATTCCTTGTAACTCAGCAAATTTATCACAAGAACGTATGTCAATAACATAAATCTCAATCTGGTTCTCAAGTACTATCAACTCAAGTGCAGAAAAATCAAATAGATAAAACTGACCAAACCCATTTCCTTTTCCTTTGCTTCTTCTTTTTTTCTTCTTTATGTGTTTTTCTCTCTTTTTCTTCTTTTTTGACAAACAACCCAATTTATATATAAAACAACTTATTTGAATTATGAAACTGTCCCAAGATTCTCTTATTCTCACCATGACCTCACCACATTAGCTTTCTAATGTAAAAATGCCTAGATTTCTCCCCTCAATTAAATGCAAACCCAACAGTTCTTATTTCTTTCATTTTCACTCCTAATAAAACTTTTAAAAACTAACAGATCCTCTTGCATAAAAATAAAAATCACAAAAAATATGAAATATATATATTCGGATTAAAAATAGGGTTTTACAAAAATAAAATCTAAACTAATCGAGAGTTAGTAGAAAAGAGTTACGAGAAAGAGAGTATAATAGAGAGAGTAAATGAGATTTGTAAGGAAAGAATTAGAGAGAGTTACAAGGATAAATGAGTAGAGGTTTTACTTACTGAGCATTGTTTTGTGCTCACCCCGTTGTTCCCTATGTTTTGCAGGATCTAGGTGAGGGCATAGTCGGATGAACGTCATTAAGCGAAGAGAACTGGCTACACTGTCCACCATGTTTTTGACGTTTTGTACATGATACTACTTTTTGTATAAAGAGTGTATATGTTTAATAAAAAGAAAAAATTTGGGCCCAACTTTTATGCTTTCTTACATGTATTTTTACTATGCATATTCTAAAGGAATATGAGTAGAATTGAGACGTTACAAGCACCACAAAAAAAAAAATCAAGATATTGTAAATGCTATAAATACGGTTGAAGCATGTAAGCAAGCTTTACAATTGATGAAATATAGTAGATGGGAGAATTTACCCAACAAAGTTTATCTTGCAATAAGAAGGATAGAGTGTTTCCATTAGTTTATCTGTTGATAAAATTAACATTGATTTTAGCGGTTGCCACTAGGCCCACTACTAATATAGAGAGAGTATTTTCAACAATGAATGTTGTGAAAAATCGTTTGCAAAATAGAACGAGTGATTAAATATTATATAAAGAATGATGTATTTAATAATATTAATAATGAAATCATTATACAATATTTTTAAAAGATGAAATCTTATTGAAAATAATTACAAGTGTGTTAATTAATGAGAATTTAATTAATATAAATATTTGTGTTTATTTTTATTTTATTTTATATTAATTGTTATTTTAACCTTTGTCCTCTTAAGCTTCATTCTTGGCTCCGCCCTGGAGATAGCCAAGACTAAAAGTCACACGATGGAATCGATGTGGGATTAGTTGTGTCTAAAAGTTTAATATATGGTCAATATTATTGTATCGATCTGGGATTAGTTCATCATTTTCAAAACTTACTTCATCACAGCTCCAACTTATCCCAATCAAACGTAAATTTATTCGTACACCTAGAAAGGAATGGTAGGGGTGCGGACTGAATGTCTACCATAACATAATATGTGTCACCCTCACCTCTTCAACATTCACTCATAAATACATAATTATTTATATAAATACCTTCCACTAATATACTTTATTTGTCACTTTGTATTTATTCTTTTGATTTAGACCCATTAATCACTAAGGTTGGTTAATTAATTTTTTTTTTTTTGATAATCAAGGTATTCGAATTAGTTTATGTACACTTTGATTAATCATCGGAAGAGAGTTCATAACCTTTTACTTAAATCGCGAATATTCAAAATAAAAATCGAATCTACACCGTGCGCGTCCTAATTCACCCTAACTGTTTAGGTTACCCTAATAGTAATCTAGCCGAAAGTTTAATTTTACTCAAATCTTGAGAAAAGGAAAAGGAATTTGGCTTTGCCTTTGGAAGGAATATATTCGTTCTTTAATGTAAAGTTTCTGTCTGTTGAAACCAATTTGCTGCAACTGTTGAAAGGCTTACTGGAAGGATCCATGGGAGGTGTTGTAGTGAAAGCTTCTAGGAAGCTTCTGCCCCATTTGTATCAGCTTTCTAAAGACAGACCAGACGTGGGCTCCACATAAATTGGTATGGCCAGGCCTACTCAGAAAGTCAGACCTACTTAATTTACTACTCTTGGGCCTAGCCTTCCATCCTAGTTTTAAAAGGGGAAGGTTTTTTTATCCTCATATAATTTTTTTCATCCCTAATATTATATTTATTTTTTGTTTTGGCAAATTTAATCTTATTTTAAATTACTAGAAATACCATTATAATTTTTAAATACATTCATACTATTTTTTTTAACATTTAATCTTATATAAACCTTAACCTTAATTGTTTTTATTATTGAGGATTTTTAACATTCAATGTTATATAAACCCTAACCCTAATATATATATATATATATATATATATATATATATATATATATATATTAGGGTTAGGGTTTATATAACATTGAATGTTAAAAATCCTCAATAATAAAAACAATTAAGGTTAAGGTTTATATAAGATTAAATGTTAAAAAAAAGAGTATGAATGTATATATATATATATTATTTTTAATATTAAAAAAATCTCGCCGTATTATTTGGGGCTACGGTAAGACACAGATAATACGGTAAGGCTATCATAGTGTTGAACGACATTGTAAAAAGGCAGTGACTGATCTCACTTGTTAAGGTTGTTTGATGACAACCTTATATAACGCATGGATGCTTGCTATAGGCAAGTTCACTAGACTGACCCACCAGAGGATTCCATATGGATGGTAACCCCAATGTCTATGGAATAAATCATCTAACGAATGATAGTACATGTGATCCTTAAACTTGAGATCACCGGAGTGCCTTGTACACCGATTGGTGCAGTTTAACACTAGCCCAACACAGTTCTATTCAGAGCTATCAAAAAGTTAGTGATTGACTGTATCAAGGAGTGTATCAAGACTATTGTGGATCGACAGAGGATTCATCACTCTTGGGTACGAGGATAAGTTATCTCATGGCGCAATTTAGTAAATGGCAATGACTCTAAAACTGTGGCCACAGTGGCATTGAGTTGTTACTTTATTCAGTTTATAATACTGGTCATTGGTCCAGTAACTGAATACATACATATTAAGAGTAACTAAGGTTGACACTATTTCTATGCCTCGGTCTCGTTGAGATAACGAATGATGAAAGGGTTGGACCCATATTGACGCCCTACCCGCTAGATCCGACCAGTTTGTGTCATAACGCAATTTTTCAACCAGATTCCGACGATGGTGGCCGAAATCTGGCACTGCAGGTGGTGGGGGTGTATAACTATATGGACATAGCAGTGTATTGTATTTGGATTGGAGCCACTTTGTGACTTGTTTACTGTCTTTATTCTATACCTTACCATTTATCACAGACAAAAACTTTACATTAAAGAAAGAATATATTCCTTCAAAAGCCAAAGCCAAATTCCTTTTCCTTTTCTCAAAATTTGAGTAAAATTAAACTTTCGGCTATATTATTATTTGGGTAACCTAGACAGTTAAGGGTGAATTAGGACGTATAGTTTATATTCGATTCTCTTTTTGGGCATTTGCGATTTAAGTGAAGGATTATGAAGTCTCTTTCGACGATTAGTTAATATGTGCGTAAGTTGATTCAGATACCTTAGTTTTAAGAAAAAATAAAATAAAAATTAATTAACCAATCTTAGTGATTAATGGGTCTAAATCAAAAGAATAAATGCAAAGTGACATATAAAGCATATTAGTGGAAGGTATTTATATAAATAATTATGTGTTTATGAGTGAATGTTGAAGAGGTGGGGGTGACACATGTTATGTTATGGTAGACACTAATGCCCCACCCCTACCATTCCTTTCTAGGTGTACGAATAAATTTATGTTTGATTGGGAAGAGCTGGAGCTGTGAATCTGTGATGAAGTAAGTTTTGAAAATGATGAACTAATCCCACATCGATACAATAATATTGACCATAAATTAAACTTCTAGACACAACTAATCCCACATCGATTCCATCGTGTGGCTTTTAGTCTTGGCTATCTCCAATGGAGGAAGAAACTGAAAGCCTATTCCCAAACGTAAACGTCTTCTAGAACTTTCAAGTATTTTGTAATACCAAAACTTGGACCGCCTGCCTGCCTGACACGAATGTCTCACTTGGGGGCAGCGCCCCGCCCACTGCTCCTCCTCCTTAGTCCTTGCCGTGTTTGTTTGCGCTTTGCCTTTGGCTTTTCCGACCGCCGCACCATTCCGATTCCCATTCATTTTATTTTTTAATTATAAATTAGTATACGACAAATCAAAATTTGACAAATTTTCTATTCAAAACGTCGACGTTTTTTTGTTTTACCAAATGACCCACCATTGTCAATTCTGATCTTGACTTTTATTTATCTATCTCCTCTCTCCTTCCTCCACACCAAATTCCTGCTTTCTAACAAGATGATTCTCAGTACAAAATTTTCCAAACAGCACCTGTCCAACTCAAAACCCTAGACACATAGCTCCACCACAAAACAATGCAAACCCACAATTACCCCTCCTTCTCCATCTCCATATATCATCATCACACAACCCACGCATAAGTAAGACTAAAATTACTCTCCAAGTAATCCATCTCCTCTCCATTTCAATTTAACAACTAAAAATCAATTCCTTAAAATCTACTTCTTCTCCCCCACAGATTCTATTCTTCTCTTAATCACAGTCCTAATCGGTACGTTTCTTTTCCCCTTTTTTTAACCTTTACTATTATTATTATTATTTTTAATAANCCTAGACACATAACTCCACTACAAAACAATGCAAATCCACAAATACCCCTCCGTCTCCATCTCCATATATCATCATCACACAACCCACGCATAAGTAAGACTAAAATTACTCTCCAAGTAATCCATCTCCTCTCCATTTCAATTTAACAACTAAAAATCAATTTCTTAAATTCTACTTCTTCTCCCCCACAGATTCTATTCTTCTCTTAATCACAGTCCTAATCGGTACGTTTCTTTCTCCCTTTCTTTCACCTTTACTATTATTATTATTATTATTTTTAATAATAACATTTCTATACTCTAAAGATTCCTTGTTCCAAATGAAGTTTAACAAGTGGGCGTTAGGGTTTACAGTCTTATTTCCGATTATTCTCGGATATCTGTACGGAAACTCTGATGTTGTTGTTCTTGTTGTTGATTATGGTAATCGATGCATGAGTTTTTGGTTTGTGGCATTGATTGTAATTTTTATGGGGTTTTGTGCCGTGTTTGGTAGCTTACTGCACTATATGCTTCCTAGAAAGAGAGCCAGTGAAGGAGTGGTTGTTGTCAACGAAACCGAAGAAGAACAAACTCTAAACATTTCTAGCGATAACGATAACGCCTCGTCTGTTATTAAGAAGCATCGGATCTCTGAATCAACCCCCGCTGAGACTAACAACGCCGTTATTTTGGACGACAGTAGCAACCACAGTACCAGTACCACCCTAGCTGAAATCCCGATCATGGCCCTTGGCGATTCCAATCAGACTGACATCGATGAAGATCTGCACAGCCGTCAGCTGGCCGTGTACGGTCGCGAGACGATGAGACGACTTTTCGCTTCCAATATCCTCGTCTCCGGGATACAGGGCCTTGGTGCCGAGATCGGTATGATTATTTAATTACTATTTTGTTTGGTAGATCGTGGTTTGATGGTTGTAAATTTACATTTTGTTATTCTTTATGTTGGTTTTGTAAATTTTAGTTTTGGGGTTTGTGATTTTGTATTTAATTTTGTGATTGATCTTTGGGATGCCGTAGTTTTGATATCCTGGATTATTTTTGTTGTTAAATTTTGTGTTTAATTGTTGTCTGCTTGATGGGAAAACAAGGAAATGCAATCGGTTTGTTCACCTTCTTTTTGGTAGTTTGTAATACGTATAATAGAGGCTATGTTGAAGACATGCGATCTATTCTATATATTATCTGTTATGAAGGCATTGCATTGGCCTTTACGTGCTAGGTTTAGAATGCATTTTTTCCTGGATTTTAGCTGGTTAAGGGAATATTCTATAGTTTGTTGTACATATATTAGAAGCTATGTTGAAGAAATGAGATCTATTTTGTATGTCATCTGTTAAGAAGTCATTGACCTTTACATGCTAGGTTTAGAATGCATTTTCGCTGGGATTTAGCTGGTTAAGGGAATATTCTATGGTTTGTTGTACATATGTGAGAAGCTATGTTGAAGAAATAAGTTCTATTCTAGATGTCATCTATTTTGAAGTCATTGGCCTTTACTTGCTAGGTTTAGAATGCATTTTTGCTGGGATTTAGCTGGTTAAGGGAATATTCTATGGTTTGTTGTACATATGTGAGAAGCTATGTTGAAGAAATAAGTTCTATTCTAGATGTCATCTATTATGAAGTCATTGGCCTTTACTTGCTAGGTTTAGAATGCATTTTTGCTGGGATTTAGCTGGTTAAGGGAATATTCTATAGTTTGTTGACAGATATTATAACCTATGTTGAATGAATGAGTTTTACTCTATATGTTATCTGTTATGAAGTTATTGGCCTTTACATTGTTAGGTTTAGAATGCATTTTCACCGGGATTTTAGCTGGTTAAGGGAATATCTGGCTAGTTTAATTTGACATGGACTTCTTTTGAGCTGCTGTGAGGTCCATGATTTGTAGTCTTACTTCATGTTATTTTTGTTACTTGCAGCAAAGAATCTTATTCTTGCTGGTGTCAAGTCTGTGACCTTGCATGATGAAGGGACAGTGGAGCTGTGGGATTTGTCCAGTAATTTCATATTTTCAGAGAATGATGTTGGTAAGAACAGGGCTCTTGCCTCTGTTCAGAAGTTGCAGGAGCTCAATAATGCGGTTATTATTTCTACCTTAACAACAAAGTTGACCAAAGAACGACTTTCTGATTTCCAGGTATTTCTCCCACTTTGTTTTTGCTTGATTAAACCTATGAATTGCTTAGTAACTTTTTTTATTTACGAAGACAAGTGTTACGGCATATTTGAAGTTGTTCCGACTTGTTCTATTTGATTTATATTTTGAACAAATTCATCATATAATACTGATTCTGTTCATTAACAGATAAGACGCTGAACATATTTCACCAGTTCATTAATCTTTCTTGTTGACTAAAACAAGATTTAAGAGGAACTTCTGACAATGTAGCAGTTCATAACAAAGATAAAGACAAGACTGAAATTAGAATAATGAAAGATCAATATCTGGAATTCGAGAGTTGTTGGAAATTCTCAGATTTGAAATTTGCTATGTGATGATGAGAGAAACTACTCTAATCAATAAATAATAATAATGATAAGTTGAAAAACTGCTTATATTATTTGAAGAGGCTAATTATAACAACCTTAGAAACACCTAAATCTGTCGAGCATAAAATATACAGCAAAAAACATTTCTTTCTTTGTTTGTCTGCAATATGCTGTTGTGTAATCCTGTTCTGCTTCTGCAAGAAACTGGATATATTAGATTTTAATGTCTTCTGTCCATTAAGGACTTACTTAAGTTGACTGATCTTCAAACTCCTGTCACTGGAGTGTGTTAACGTAGATTAATAACCTCAACTTTTTGACAGTATGTTTGTTTGTCTAAGAAGCGTCATTGTTATTGGATCCTGATTTAAGGAAATGACTTTCTGTTTCAAAAATTGAAGGTTGGGCTGGTTTTTTAGGGCCTTTTGTAGCTAATTTAGATGTTTTAATCTAGTTGAAAAGATCTTGCGCTTTTACTAGAAATGAATTGCACAACATATTAGGGCTATTATTTTTCAATTTTTTTCCTGTGATAGGGAATGAAGAACGTATTAGGTCTTTAAGTTTATTATATTTCTGATATCTGATCCATGTCTTATGCTGTTATTTCTATTGGCATTTTTGTGTGTTTACTTATTTCATTGTCCATGCTGTTTACTTTTTGGTGGTGCAGGCTGTTGTATTCACTGATATCAGTCTTGATAAAGCCATTGAGTTCAATGACTACTGTCATAATCATCAGCCACCCATCTCTTTCATCAAAGCAGAAGTTAGAGGCCTTTTTGGCTCCGTGTTTTGTGACTTTGGTCCTGAGTTTACAGTTTTTGATGTTGATGGAGAGGAACCACGCACAGGCATTATTGCATCCATTAGCAATGACAACCCAGCCCTAGTTTCTTGTGTTGATGACGAAAGGCTCGAGTTTCAGGATGGGGATCTTGTTGTGTTCTCTGAAGTTCATGGAATGACACAGCTTAATGATGGGAAACCAAGGAAGATAAAAAATGCAAGGCCATATTCGTTCACTCTTGAGGAAGACACCACAAATTATGGTACCTATGTTAAAGGTGGTATTGTCACGCAGGTGAAGCAGCCCAAGTTGTTGAACTTTAAGCCACTAAGAGAAGCTATCAAAGACCCTGGTGATTTTCTTCTGAGTGATTTCTCCAAATTTGATCGCCCGCCTCTTTTGCACTTAGCATTTCAAGCACTAGATAAGTTTGTCTCTGAGTTGGGTCGCTTCCCTGTTGCTGGTTCAGAAGAGGACGCTCAGAAGCTTATCTCTGTTGCCACTAGTATTAATGATAGCTTCGGAGATGGGAAAGTGGAAGATATTAACCCAAAACTTCTGCGGCACTTTGCCTTTGGTGCTAGGGCAGTGTTGAATCCCATGGCTGCCATGTTTGGTGGTATTGTTGGACAAGAGGTTGTAAAAGCGTGCTCTGGCAAGTTTCATCCTCTTTTTCAGGTTGGTTGTTGGTTTTGTTTCACGAGAGTTGTTTTTAGAGTCAGGACATTTCAATGTGCTTGTTATTCTGCATAATCAAGCCTGCTTTTATTGCATCAATAGACCTTATTGTGGGCATTCTATCTGTGCCAATTCTCAGAGATTTATCTCTCTGTTTCTCACACACAAAAGACATGCATGCATACATAAGAGTAGGCTCATGCTTACATGCACAGATACTGTGATTTAGAGTGTGTTGTAATTAGTCACAGGAACTGCTGACCGCGCTAGACACATGGTTGTGAAGCCTTTTAATATGTCCTGTTATGTTGATCTTGTTAACTTGCTTAATTTTAGTTGCATGAGAAACTTATGACCATTTTTCAGAGCTTTGTCTGAGGACTTGTACTCTTTTGATGTGTTGTTCTGTTTAACTAACCTTATTTCACTTGTTTTCACAGTTCTTCTATTTTGACTCAGTGGAGTCACTTCCTACAGAGCCTCTGGACTCCAGTGAGTTTAAACCTATAAATAGCCGTTATGATGCACAAATTTCTGTGTTTGGGGCCAAGCTCCAGAAGAAACTGGAGGATACTAAACTGTTTATCGTAGGATCTGGTGCTCTAGGATGTGAATTCTTAAAGAATGTAGCGCTGATGGGAGTTTCATGTGGTGATCAAGGAAAACTAACAATCACTGATGACGATGTAATTGAGAAGAGTAATCTTAGTAGGCAGTTTCTCTTCCGTGATTGGAATATTGGCCAGGCCAAGTCCACAGTTGCTGCTTCTGCTGCCTCATCAATAAATCCTTGTTTAAACATTGAAGCCTTGCAAAACCGTGTGGGTCCGGAAACGGAGAATGTGTTTGATGACAACTTCTGGGAGAATTTAAGTGTCGTTATTAATGCTTTAGACAATGTCAATGCTAGGCTGTATGTTGATCAAAGGTGCTTATATTTCCAGAAACCACTTCTTGAGTCAGGGACTCTAGGTGCCAAATGCAATACTCAAATGGTCATCCCTCACTTAACAGAAAACTATGGTGCTTCAAGGGACCCACCTGAGAAACAAGCACCCATGTGCACCGTGCACTCATTCCCTCACAATATTGACCACTGCTTGACATGGGCTCGATCTGAGTTTGAGGGATTGCTTGAGAAAACTCCTGCTGAAGTGAATGCTTATCTATCCAACCCGGCTGAATACACTACTGCAATGACCAATGCTGGTGATGCTCAAGCTAGGGATAACTTGGAACGTGTTCTTGAGTGCCTTGACAGGGAAAAATGTGAGACGTTTCAGGACTGCATTACCTGGGCTCGTCTAAAGTAATTTCCTTTATGATTGAAATTATCTTTGTGACTACAAATTAGTGTTTTGTTTTATAATTTCTTACATTTCATCATGATTCTTATGTAATCAGGTTTGAAGATTATTTTTCCAACCGTGTCAAGCAGTTGATTTACACATTTCCTGAAGATGCTGCTACCAGTACTGGGGCCCCGTTCTGGTCAGCCCCAAAGCGATTCCCTCACCCACTGCAGTTCTCAGCTGCTGATCCTAGTCATCTCCATTTTGTTATGGCCGCATCAATGCTACGAGCTGAGACATTCGGCATTCCGGTTCCTGGTTGGGCCAAGAATCCTAAGCTGTTGGCTGAGGCTGTTGACAAAGTAATTGTCCCAGAATTTCAGCCAAAGAATGATGCAAGAATAGTTACCGATGAGAAAGCTACTACTCTCTCCACTGCTTCTGTGGATGATGCAGCAGTTATCAATGATTTAATCATGAAGTTAGAGCAGTGCAGGAAGAACCTACCACCGGAGTTCAGGATGAAACCAATTCAGTTTGAAAAGGTTAATATCTTTTCATCCCTTGTTCCAGTATATATTTACCACTACCATGCGTATTCCTTTTGGGAATCAAAGTGGGTCTCAACTCCTTAATAATTTAAATTTGCTCATCTAAACTCAACATTTTTGTGAATGTGCAGGATGATGACACGAATTATCACATGGATATGATAGCTGGGCTTGCCAACATGAGAGCAAGAAACTATAGCATTCCTGAGGTTGACAAGCTAAAAGCCAAGTTTATTGCTGGAAGGATTATTCCTGCTATTGCAACTTCCACTGCAATGGCGACAGGTCTTGTGTGCCTGGAGCTATACAAGGTTCTGGATGGAGGGCACAAATTAGAAGACTACCGCAACACATTTGCTAACCTTGCATTGCCTCTATTTTCCATGGCTGAGCCTGTCCCGCCCAAGGTCATGAAACACCGTGATATGAGCTGGACTGTTTGGGATAGATGGATCCTGAAAGGCAATCCCACCCTCAGGGATCTTATTGAATGGCTCAAGCAGAAAGGGCTGAATGCTTATAGCATCTCATGTGGAAGTTGCTTACTCTTTAATAGTATGTTCCCCAGGCACAGAGAACGGATGGACAAGAAAGTGGTTGATCTGGCAAGAGAAGTGGCGAAAGTAGAATTGCCTCCATACCGTCGTCACTTAGATGTTGTTGTGGCATGTGAGGATGATGAGGATAATGATATCGATATTCCTCTGGTATCGATTTACTTCCGTTAAAATGTTGTTTTCCCGATCCACCAAACCAGTCAAACTGTGATTTAAGAATGAGAACCCTATTATTCGAAGTAGTATCTTTGGTTCTGTTTTATATTGAAGAGGTACAAAATCAAAATTTTACATCAGTTTCACTTGTCATATAGAAACCGAAAGCAACTCTGATTGTTGTTATATATTTCTATATTTGCTTTTATCTGCTGCTTGTGTTGTTGCTTTGTGCGTAATCTTCTTTGCTGTGTGAGTGAGTGGTCACTGATTGCAACTACAGTTTTAACACTAGATTTATGGGTTACTTTCTTTAGGTTTCTTTGTTTCTTTCCTTACATTATGCGATGTAGATTATCAAAAGGAGAGTGCCCTGGTAGTAATTCAACAGGTTTCATTACTTCCCAAAGAATTTTCAAGGGAGAAAATCCTGTACAAAGCTGAAATCAGCTATCCTGTTATAACTATTCATGTACCATTAAGGCTGAATCAAATGTTATGTTTTACTATTCTAAATGTAAAAGCCAGATTTTTCATCAGTAACTTGTACAACTGCCATCTCTAACCGAAAACAGATCACTTAATTTTTATCAGCATCTTCATCAGATTCAGCAGAATTAATAACTCCGAAATCATTTCGCTTCCGACGCTTTGCACGACGGCGCTCCTCAAAATCTTCCCATCCGTCACTCTGTTGTAGAAGAATACTTTAGTATCTGTTGCAGTAAATGGGGAGCAAATTGGGCCACTTGATAGTTCTAATAAATAATATACAAAACCTGCCAGAGGGTGTCCATAGTGATTTCTGTATGATGATGATCCAAAATTGAGAGCTGGGTGCACATCATGAAAAACGAATTTGGGAGGCTTTTCATAGCATTGTTACTGATATACAAAGCCTGTATCCAAGATAAAAAATTAGCCACAGTTCTAGATGGCAAATCTCATGCCCCCTCAAGAATATACAGCTAGTGCACAAGAATTGGTGAACCTCTTGATGCAAGAATTTGACTGTCCTCCAATAATAATGTCTTAAGTTCTATTTTAATTTAGTGAAAAAATTTGACCAAGATGAGGCGGGAATTCATTTACAAACTACCTAAAACCCTGATATAGCAATCATATGAAAGAGAGTAGAAAGAAAGAAACGTGTAACTAAGAAGAAAGTAGGGACCTTCAAGTTATGCAAACTGCAAAATTCATCTGGCAACTCAGACAGATGATTTGATGAAAGATCTACCTGCATCACGTGAAGATCGGGTCAAATGAAATATCAAATTCATGTTATATGGATGGAAATTTTCCTTGTAGTTTGCAGCCAACAACCAAGTAATTTACGTCGCATTATACAAATTTTCATCCAATTAAAAAGAAAAAAGGACGAACACAAAGAATTGTACCTCGACAAGAGAAGTACAATTGCCTATACTTGAAGGAATGGAACTAATCCTGAGGAAGATAAACAAGCCAATCAAGAATCACAAAATTATGTGTACAGCATAGACAGAAAGAAGCATGCATAGGGCAGTCTTATTCTTTTTGCGCTCCAATGCCAACAAAAGATTTCCTACAAAAAAATTGCATCAATTTATGTATATATTACCTATTATTGTTGACTTTCAAAATTTCAAGCTCAGTCAGATTTCCTATTTCAATTGGGAGGGCAGTTAAGAGGTTGTTTGCAACATTTAGCTGCTGCAGAGAAGTCAAAAGACCCAGTGTGGAAGGCAGAGTGTTCAAACTGCAGAAAAGATGTCATTCATCATATTATGCATACATACACAGTGAAGCTACGGTTCCAGGCGTATAACACCTTAGGGATAAAGAAAGTATCCCACATTTCACACCTCAGGTGACTTTCAAGAACAATGATTAAAGAAACTTATGAATTAGTATGCACTTATACGAAATTTAACAAAAAAAAGAGAGAATCATGATTTAGTAAAACAAGCAGTAACACTGGGGAATACATAAACAACTAACCAGTTTCGGCTTAAAAATAGAACTTGTAGAAGCTTCAGACTTGTGAGTCGTTGCCAGCTAAGGATTCATCCGTAAAGCATTTCCATTAAGATACAATTTCTACCAAAGAATTGAGATTGAAGGATTACATTCATGATCTTTAAGAGGGAGGTCATTCAAATAGCTGAAGTAAAAACACAAAGTTCGGAACAAAAGGTTCTTATACCCTCAATCCAGTAAGACAATCAATCCGGTCAGGTACATGCTGAATGGAATTGTGGCTGACACAAGGATTCTTATAAAAGGGCACAAGGCCAAACTTCATCAGGAAGTCCTATCAAGAGATACAATAAAGTTATCAAATATAAAAATCTTTCGTTTTACATGTTTATATCTGATAATAATGAAGTTCTACACCTCTCAGTCAATTGTTTTCTTCTACATATAGGCAACACAGAAATCTTAGCTCCTAAAAAGTATATAAATTGACACTGATTCTACCAACCTCAAACTTCTCATTAATAATCTATGTTCTCCATTTAAAGAAAACTAACCTGCAGCAAATTACTTCTGTTAATGGTTCACATCAAAGGGGAAAGCAACACTCACATTACAGCGAAAAGCAGCTCCTCTAGTTTTTCAAATATCTGCAGGCAGGTCTTACAAAATTCCATTCATGGTGAACATCTATGACATTCGAAGATTGATAATTTGTATCATCAGACATCAGACAAACCGCTAGCTAAGTATCAAGTTTTTTTGATACAATAAACTTAGGTAAATTTTGTTGAAATCATTTGGAAGAGAATTACTTTTGTACCTTCAAGTTGCATTCGGCCAATGCTACAATATTGGTAGCCTTCCACCGTTCAGGACGGCCTTTTCAACTTTGATATTCTTCTTCGTTGAAGCAAATCGACTTGGAGCCCCTCCTATCGTTGAAGCAAATCGGCTTGGATTCCCTCCAATCGTTGAAGCAAATCGGCTGGGAGCCCCTCCAATCGTTGAAGCAATTGGGCTTGGAGCCCCTCCAATCGTTGAAGCAAATCGGCTGAGCCCACCAATCGTTGAAGCAATTTGGCTTGGAGTCCCTCCAATCGTTGAAGCAAATCGGCTTGGAGCCCCCAATAGTTGAAGCAAATCGGCTTGGAGCCCCTCCTCTTGTTGAAGCAAATCGGCTGGAGCCCTTCCTCTCATTGAAGCAATTCGGCTTGGAGCTCCTATTGTGGACATCCTGTTCATATAAAACTCTCAGTCAAATACTAAAGACATTTAAATCCTATAACCACAAGTTTTTCCACATAAAAAACCTTTCTTTTCAAGAGTACATGTTGATGTATGTCCATATTGTTAACAAAAAGAAATTTTATCAACGTTTCTAACAGTTACAACTTTAATCACTTCTCAAAAATGAAGAACCTTTGATTAAAAATTAGCTAATCTCGTCACAGGAAAAAAAAAGAAATAAAGAATCTTAAACAATGTAAACAAGAAAGAAGTGAAAATTGTCCCTTTTTAAGTCTATTTCATGCATTAATAACAGAGTTTTAATTTACAAAATAAAATGAAAAATTTACCCATCGGAAAAAACCTTAGTGCCCACACAGATGATCTTGGCTCCATTGTTGACCCCAGATTCTCTCAAAGACTTATCGTTCTCCAAAAGTCGGCCTTTCAACACAAAAACAAGACAAAAAGGTGATCACCAAGAAGTCAAGATTCAATTTTGAAAAATGGGTTCTGATATTTAAACCAAATGGAACCTTAAAGATGAGTTTCTGGCCAGGAGGGAAATACTAGTGAGAGGTAGAAGAATGGTCTTCAAGCGTTGAACTGTTGAATCATGCGATATAGTTATGGTATCGTGTGTAGTGAACTTCACTGTGATTAATGTCGCTTTTCCATCTTGCTCTCTGTTTCGTCGTGAAAAGCTTTTCGATTGCTTCTGTTGCAAAAACCTCTTCTTGTTGTGTGTATTAGAAAGCCATTCAGGCGCTTAACAATTAGTAGTTTTCAATAGTTTTTTATTTTTATTTCTTTTTGCCGTCGGCCAACTGATGAATCAGCTTCTTTTCTCGTTGCGGATGTTCGCCTGTGAAGGAACTGAAGTTCTATAAGGAAGCCTTCTATCTCTGGATTGGGTCCTGGACAGTGGGACTGGAGGTTTCTTTTGAAAGCGGGTTTACCCATCTAGAGTTGAACATTCCCTTCATTGCCCTTACCCAATTCATTGTCGGTTTGTGGTCCGTCCACTGCAAATTGAGTAAAGCTCTCAAGCGGTAAGCGAACTTAGCTAGTTAGCTGTCTTCATTGGTGGGTGTTCACTGAGACTCTGAGAGTGACTATAGTTTTACGCAAAATTTGGCTGTGCCAATAGCAATAAATTAATGGGTTATTTTCTTTAGACTGAGAATCTGGTTCTTTCGTTCCTTTCCAGAATATGTATTTTGGAGATAATAATCCGTCCTGTTACAGTTTGCTGAAATAACGGAAGTCAGAAGCAAATTTATCCAGAAATTTTAAGATTTTAACCCAATCCTACTTCCTATGTGAGGTAGTTGATCAAAAGGAGAGTACCCTGGTAGTAATCAACCGGTTTCATTACTTCCAACAATGTCGAGGGGAGAAAATCTATACAAAGCTAAAATCAGCATCCTGTTATAACTATTCACATATCATCAAGGTTGAATCAAATGTATGTTCTTTGTTCTAAATGTAAAAGCCATTTTTTCATCAGTAACTTGCACAACTGCCATCTGTAACGGAAAACAGATCACTCAATATTTATCAGCATCTTCATTAGATCAGCAGAATTAAAAACATCGAAATCTTTTTCCTTCTGACGCTCTGCACGACGGCGCTCCTCAAAATCTTCCCATCCTTCAGACTGTTGCAGATGAATACTTTAGTGTCTGGCAGTAAATGGGGAATAAATTGGACCACTTGATAATTCTAATAAATAATATACAAAAACTGCAATAGGGTATGTAATTGATTTCTGTATCATAAAGATACAAAGTTGATAGCTGGGCACACATCCTGAGTAATGAATTGGGAGGCTTTTATAGTATGTTACTGATATCAAAGCCTGTAAATAATAGAAACATTAATAAATCCAAGCTCAATAATTGCCACAGTTCTTGATGGCCAATTCATGCCCTCTCAAGAATATACAGCTAGTGCACAAGAATTGGTAAACCTTGATGCAAGAGTTTGACTGTCCTCCATAATAATGTCTTAAGTTCTATTTTAATTTGCGAAAAGGGGGGGGGGGGGGGTGGGGGGGGGGTGGGGGGTACAAACTACCTAGAACCTTGATATAGCAATGGATGAAAGAGAGTAGAAAGAAAGAAATATATAACTAAGAAGAAAGTAGGGACCTTCAAGTTATGCAAACTGCAGAATTCATCTGGCAACTCAGACAGATAATTTGATAAAAGATCTACCTGTACCACGTGAAGATCAAGTCAAATGAAATATCAAATTCGCGTCATATGGATGGAAATTATCCTTGTAGTTTGCAGCCAACAGCTAAGTAATTTACGCCGCATTAGACAGATCATTTTCATTCAATTGAAAAGAAAAAGACAAACACCAAGAATTTTACCTCGATAAGAGAAGTACAGTTGCCTATACTTGAAGGAATAGAACTAATCCTGAGGAAGAGAAACAAGCCAATGAAGAATCAAAAAATTATGTCTAGAATATGAAGAAGCATGCATAGGGGCAGTCTTATTCTGTTTGCGCTCTAATGCTGACAAAAGTTTTCCTACAAAATAATTGCATCAATTTATCTATATATTACCTATTATTTTTGACTTTCAAAACTTCAAGCTCAGTCAGATTTCCTATTTCAATTGGGAGGGCAGTTAAGAGGTTGTTTGCAACATCTAGGTACTGCAGAGAGGTCAAAAGACCCAGCGTTGAAGGCAAAGTTTCCACACTGCAGAAAAGATGTAGTTCATGATAGTTAAAAAATATGCAACAGCCATATTATGCACATATACACAGTGAAGCTGAGGTTCCAGGCTTATATAACACTTTAGGGATAAAGAAAGTATCCCACATTTCACACCTCAGTTGACTGTCAAGAACAATGATTAAAGAACTATACAGAATTAGTAAAATAACGAAGAGAGAATCATGTTTTTGTGAAGTCTTAACAATTATATACGTGTATGATAAGTTCATTATAGAATTTGAATTAGCTCAAATGGAACAGAGGCTGATAATATTTTTCATATTTGAGGAGGTGCAGAGACTAGACATTAGGTCCCAAGTTTGATTATTAAATTTTCCCCTCCCCATGTAGTTCATCCTTTTCCTTTCTTCTTTTTTATTTTGTTACTTCAGGTAAACAGTAGAAAAACAAACCACAACTCCATAAAAGCTTCTTGTCATACTGGAGCAGTAGAGGGATAACCAAACCACGTTTACAAACCCCTTTTTCTAGTTTTGCTTTAAAGATGAGCGCTTTACTATGAATGTCTGTTTCTTTTTTTTTTCCTTATAAGAAACTAATTGAAAGGTAAACAAGCAGTAGACAGCTCAAAAGAATAAATATGTGTTTTGCATAGGAAAGCAGAAACCAAAATTCTACTACACATATTATACATAAGTGAACATAAACAACTAACCAGTTCCAGCTTAAAGATAGAACTTGTAGACGCTTTAGACTTGTGATTCCTTGCCAGCTAATGGATTCATCCGGCAAACCATTTCCATTAAGATACAATTTCTACCAAAGGATTGAGATTGAAGGATTTACATTCATGATCTTTTAGAGGGAGGTCATTCAAATAGCTGAAATAAAAACACCAAAGTTTGGAATAGAATGGTTTTTATACCCTCAATCTAGTAAGACAATCAATCCGGTCAGGTACATGTTGAATGGGATTGTGGCTGATATCAAGGACTCTTATAAAAGGTGCACAAGGCCAAACTTCATCAGGAATGTCCTATTAAGATACAATAGAGTTATCAAACATATACCTTGTGAATACATCTAAAAGAAGAAACTTGAAAAACTCTTTGCTTTTTTATGTTTATTTCTGATAATAATGAAGTTCTACACCTCTCATTTCAATTTGTTTTCTTCTACATATTAGTCAAAACAGAAATCTTAGCTCCTCAAAAGTACATAAACTGACACTGATTCAACCAACCTCATTAATAATCTATATTCTCCATTTAAAGAAAACTAAATCTGCAGCAAATTACTTTTGTTAATGGTATTAATATCAAAGGGGAAAGCAAAACTCACATTACAGTGAAAAGCAGCTTCTCTAGTTTTTCAAATAACATTCAATCGGTGAACATCTATGACATTCGAAGACCTGACTAATTTGTATCAGCAGACAATTGGATTCCATTACGCAGGACAATCAGACAAACCGTTAAGCAAAGTATCAAGTTTTTTTGATACAATATCTCAATCAACTTAGATAAATTTTGTTGAAATTACTTGGAAGAGATATTAGTTTTGTACCTTCAAGTTGCATTCGGCCAATGCTACAATATTGGTAGCCTTCCACCGTTCGGTACGGCTCTTTTCAGCTTCGATTTCCTTCTTCGTTGAAGCAATTCGGCTTGAAGCCCCTCCTGTCATTGGACCATCCTGTTCATATAAACTCCTCAGTCAAATAATATAAAGACATTTGAATCCTATAACCACCATGTTTTTCCACATAAAAAACCTTTCATTTCAAGAGTACATGTATCTCCATATTGTTTAACAGAAAGAAAATTTATCAACGCTTCTAACAGTTACATCATGTACAATCTTTAATCACCTTCTACAAAAATGAAGAACCTTTGACTAAAAATTAACTAAATCTCGTCACAGAAAAAAAAAAAAAAAAACAGAAAATAAAGAATCTTAAACAATGTAAACATGAAAGAAGCTGAAATTGCTCATACTTCTCCTAAATCTTCATACATTAACAACTTTTCAGTTTAAATTAAAAAAATAAAAATGAAAAAATTTACCCCGGGGTAAAAACCCTTAGTGCCCACAAGCATGATCGTGGCTCCATTGTTGATCCCAGATTGTCTCAAAGACTCGTCGTCCTCCAAAAGTCGGCCTTTCAACACAAAAACAATACAAAAAGGTGATCACCAAGAAGTCAAGATTCAATTTTAAAACATGGGTTCTGATAGTTCAACCAAATGGAACCTTTAAAGATGAGTTTCTGGCCATGAGGGGAGATACTAATGAGAGGTAGAAGAGTGGTTTTCAAGCGTTGAACTGTTGAGTCATGCGATATAGTTATTGGTATCGATTGTGTAGTGAACTTCACTGTGATGTTAATGTTGCTTTCTTCCATCCTGCTCGCTGTTTCGTCCGCGAAAAGCTTTTCGATTGCTTCTGTTGCAGACACCTATTCTTGTTGTGTGTATTAGTAGTTTTCAAGAGTCTATACTTCTTTTAAATCTTTCATACATAAATAACATTTTAGTTTAAATTGACAAAATAAAAATGAAAATTTTACCTGAGTGCCCACAAGCATGATCTTGGCTCCATTGTTGATCTCAGATTCTCTCAAAGACTTCTCGTTCTCCAAAATTCGGCCTTTCAAGACAAAAAACATTACAAAAAGGTGATCACCAAGAATTCAAGATTCAATTTTGAAACATGGGTTTTGATATTTCAGCGAAATGGAACCTTTAAAGATGAGTTTCTGGTCAACAGGGAGGACACTAGTGAGAGGTAGAAGAATGGTCTTCAACTGTTGAACTGTTGAGTCATGCGATGTAGTTATTGGTATCGATTCTGTAATGAACTTCACTGTGATGTTAATGTTGTTTTCTTCCATCTTGCTCTCTGTTTCGTCTGTGAAAAGCTTTTCGATTGCTTCTGTTGCAAAAATCTCTTCTTCTTGTGTGTATTAGCAATTCAGGCGCTAAACATTTTAGTAGATTTCAATAGTTTTTTTTTTTTTTTGCCCGTGAGTGTTCACTGAGACTCAGAGAGTAACAATAGTTTTACGCAAAAGATTTATGGGTTATTTTCGTTAGGCTGAGATATCTTTGTTTCTTTCGTTCCTTCCATGAATATGTATTTTGGAAATAATATATCCTGTTCTGTTACAGAGTTCTGAAATAATGGACGTCAGAAGCAAATTTATCCAGAAATTTTAAGATTGTAACCCATATCCTACTGTTGAAGCTGGTGATATTTTGCTGAAAATGTGTGAATATATTGCTTGTTGAAGATGCAGGTTTTTGGCGCCAAGTTTGAATGTTGCTGGGCAGATGATGGTGAAGGAGCTGATATTTTGAAGTCCTTTATGTGATAGCTTTAGGTGATAGCAGCCGGTGATTAAGGCTTTCCTTTTAATGTTTGTACCAGCATTAGTTAAGTATGTATGGTTAGAAATGTTTTTGTAAAAATATCCTGCAGAGTAGTTGTAACACTTTTACATGAATGAAATGCTTAGTAATAACCTTCTCTCAACTCTCTCTTTTCCCACCCACCCAATGTGATGTAGTTGATCAAAAGTAGAGTACCCTGGTAGTAATTCAACAGGTTTCATTACTTCCAACAGAATGTTTGAGGGAGAAAATCCTATACAAAGCTAAAATCAGTCATCCTGTTATAACTATTTACATATCATCAAGGTCGAATCAAATGTTATGTTCTTTTGTTCTAAATGTCATCTCTAACTGGCACTAGTGCCATCTGTATCCGAAAACAGATCACTCAATATAACATCAGCCAATTCAACAAATTCAGCTGACTTAAAAACTTCGAAAGCTCTTTGCTCCTGACGCTCTGCGCGACGACGCTCCTCAAAATCTTCCCATCCTTCAAACTGTTGCAGAAGAATACTTTAGTGTCTGTTGCAGTAATTGGGGAATAAATTGGGTCACTTTATAATTCTAATAAATAATATACAAAACCTGCAATAGGGTATCCATAGTGATTTCTGTATCATGAACATCCAAAGTTGATAGCCGGGAGCACATCCTGAATAATGAATTTGGGAGGCTTTTTATAGCATTGTTTCTGATGTGCAAAGCCTGTACAGTAATAGAAACATTGAATAAATCCAAACTACCTAGACCCTTGATATAGTAATCAGATGAAAGGGAGTAGAAAGAAAGGAATATATAACTAAGAAGAAAATAGGGACCTTTAGGTTATGAAAACTGCAAAATTCATCTGGCAACTCAGACAGAAGATTTGATGAAAGATCCACCTGCACCACGTGAAGATCGGGTCAAATGAAATATTAAATTCATGTTATATGGATGGAAATTATCCTTCTGGTTTGCAGCCAATAGCCAAGAAATTTATGCTGCATTAGATAAATTTTCATTCAGTTGAAAAGAAAAAAAGACGAAGACAAAGAATTGTACCTCGACAAGAGAAGTACAGTTGCCTATACTTGAAGGAATGGAACTAATCCTGAGGAAGATAATCAAGCCAATCAAGAGTCACAAAATTATGTATAGCATAGACAGGAAGAAGCATGTATAGGGCAGTTTTATTCTTTTTGCGCTCTAATGCTGATAAAAGATTTCCTACAAAAAAATCGCATCAGTTTATCTAATATTACCTATTATTTTTGACATTCAAATCTTCAAGCTCAGTCAGATTTCCTATTTCAATTGGGAGGGCAGTTAAGAGGTTGTCTGCAACATCTAGCCGCTGCAGAGAAGTCAAAAGACCCAGCGTCGAAGGTAAAGTGTTCAAACTGCAGGAAAGATTTAATTCATGATAGTTAGAAAATATGCAACAGCCATATTATGCACACATACACAGTGAAGCTACGGTTCCAGGCGTACAACACCTTAGGGATAAAGAAAGTATCCCACATTTCACACCATCAGGTGACTTCAAGAACAAGATTAAAGAACTCTCTAGAATTAGTATGCTTATATGAAATTTAGTAAAATAACAAAGACAGAATCATGATTTTGTAAAGTGTTAACAATTATACATGCAAGATAAGTTCATTATAGTAAACTAATTGATATATCAAAATTTGGGAACAGAGGCTGATAACATTTTGCATATTTGAGGAGTTGCAGAGACTAACATTAGTCCCAAGTTTGATTAACAGTAGAGGGATAACCCACAACTCCATAAAAGCTCCTTGTCACACTGGAGCAGTAGAGGGTAACCAAAACACTTTACAAACAACTTTTTCTCTTTTGCTTTAAAGAAGAGCGCTTTACTAATTGTCGTTTTTTTTTTCTTGTAAATAACAATTGATATATTCAAATAAAAGCTTTCAATGAAAGGTAAACAAGCAGTAGATATTCAGAGAATATATGTGTTTTGCAAAGGAAAGCAGAAGACAAAAAATCTACAACAATATTATACATAATGAACATAAAAACTACCAGTTTTGGCTTAAATGTAGAACTTGTAGAAGCTTCAGACTTGTGATTCCTCGCCAGCTAATGGATTCATCTGACAAATCATTTTCCTTAAGACACAATTTCTACCAAAGAATTGAGATTGAAGATTTACTTTCATGATCTTTTAGGGAGGTCATTCAAATGGCTGAAGTTAAAAAAAAAAAAAAAAAAAAAAAAAAAAAAAACAAAGTTTGGAATAGATGGATTTTATACCCTCAATTCAGTAAAACAATCAATCCGGTGAGGTACATTTTGAATGGAATTGTGCTGATATCAAGATTCTTATAGAAGGTGCACAAGGCCAAACTAGGCGAGGAATTTCCTATCAAGATACAATAAAAGTATCAACATATACGAGAAGAAACTTTAAAAACTTTTTGCTTTTTTATGTTTATTTTTGATACAATATCTCAATCACAATAAGATATTTAGGATCCACAATCAACTTAGGTAAAAATTTATTTGAAATAACTTGGAAGAGATATTACTTTTATACCTTCAATTTGCCTTCGGCCAATCTATATACTTGGTACCTTCCACAATCTAATAAGGCCCTTATCAGCTCTGAAATCCTGCAACCACCATGTTTTTCCACATAAGAAAACATTTCTTTTCAAGAGTACATGTATCTACATATTGTTTAGCAAAGGAAATTTATCAGAGCTTCTACTGTTACATCATGTACAATCTTAATCACCTTCCACAAAAATGAAAAACCTTTGACTAAAATTTAACTGATCTCGTCACAAAAAAAAAAAAAAAAAAAGAATCTTGAGCAATGTAACAAGAAAGGAGCTGAAATCGCTCCCTTTTTTAAGTCTATACTTCTTTAAATCTTTCATATTAATAACATTTTAGTTTAAATTGACAAATAAAAAATGAAAAATTTACCTTCGTGCCCACAAGCATGATCTTGGCTCCATGTTGATCCAGATTCTCTCAAAGACTTCTCGTTATCCAAATTCGGCCTTTCAACACAAAAACAATACAAAGAGGTGATCACCAAGAATTCAAGATTCAATTTTGAAACATGGTTTTTGATATTCAACGAAATGGAACCTTAAAGATGAGTTTTCTGGTCAACAGGGTGGACACTAGTGAGAGGTACAAGAATGCTCTTCAAGCGTTGAACTGTTAGTCATGCGATGCAGTTATTGGTATCGATTTCGTAATGAACTTCACTGTGATGTTAATGTTGCTTTCTTCCATCTTCCTCTCTCGTTTTCCGTGAAAATCTTTTCGATTGCTTCGTTGCAAACCCCGATTCTTGTTGTGTGTATTAGAAAGCCAATTCAGGCGCTAAGCCAATTTAGTAGTTTTCAATAGTGTTTTTTTTTTTTTTTTTGGCCGTGAGTGTTCACTGAGTGAGTAACTATATAGTTTTATACAAAATTTGGCGGTGTTAATTAGCACTAGATTTATGGGTTATTTTCGTTAGGCTGAGATATCTTTGTTTCTTCCGAATATGTACCATTTTGGAAATAATATATCCTGTCCTGTTACAGTTGGCTGAAATAACAGAAATCCGAAGCAAATTTATCCGGAATTTTAATATTTTACCCATATCCGAAGCAAATAACAGTTGTTCAAAAGGAGTGAACCCTGCTAGTAATTCAACAGGTTTCATTACTTCCAACAGAATGTTCTAGGGAGAAAATCTTATACAAATCTAAGATCGGCCATCTGGTTATGATTATTCACATATCAGTTAAATTGAGTCAAATATGGAAAAGCCGGGTTTTCATTAGTAACTTTGTGCAACTGCCATCTGTAACCAAAAACTGATCAATGTTGGTTCTGTTGGTTCTACTGGAGAGTGATGAAGAAGAGAGATTAAGCAAAGGAAATAGACGGCAGCAACATGAAATGAGTGCTCTGTTTTTCATTAATAGAATAAGGATAATATATATACAAAACCAGTCCACTGTTCCAGCTAAAACAACCTAATGCAGTGGATATTTTTACACATTTGAATTTGAAATAAACTTACAACTAAAGCATGTCTTAATCACAACTGAACCCAACTAAACATTTCACAAAAACTTCACAATAATTCATCAAAAACAGTAGCTTCAACCACTGCACCCATAACAACAACTTGAACACTTGGCACCAAAAACAGTTTGAAACTTTAGCTAAATATTTCTGTATTTCCAGCAAATTATCACCATCTTTAGCACCCCTCCTTGATAATCTTGTTGGAAACACCAAGTTTGAGTCTTAAATTCTCAAACTCAGATTTGGATAAAGCTTTGGTAATGATGTCCGCCACCTGGTCTTCATCCCTGCAATGGACCAATTTAATTTCTCCATTACTTTCTACCTCCCTCACAGCATGGAACTTAATTTTGATGTGCTTGGTTCTACTGTGTAAGACATAATTTTTTGCCATTGCCACAGCTGATTGGTTGTCACGGAAGATCACAGTTGGACTCCTCTGTGTTTGCCTCAAATCCTCCAAGATTTTTCTAAGCCATATGGCTTGGTTTACGGCAGTAGCAGCAGAAATGTATTCTGCTTCTACTGTGGACTGAGCTATGGTGTCCTGTATTTGGGATAGCCAACATATAGCACCTGAATTAAAAAAGAAAGCATAGCCGGAAGTACTTCTCATATCATCAAGGCACCCATCCTAATCACTGTCAGAGTATCCAACAAGCTGAAAATTTCCAGTCTTCTTAAACCATGTACCAAGTTCAGAACTTCCCTTAATGTACATCAACACTCTCTTCGCTGCCTTGAGATGAACTTCACTCGGGTTGCTCATAAACCTGGAGAGGAGACTTGTTTCAATCATTAAGTCAGGCCTGGTGGCTGTCAAATACAATAGACACCCAATCAAACTTCTATAAATTCCTTCATCAATCTTCACAGCCCCATCATCTTTGCTCAACTTCAAATTTACAACCAGTGGAGTGTCCACTAGTCTGCACCTGTCCATGTTGAACTTGTTTAGGACTTCATTAGCATATTTTCTTTGGCTAACAAATATCCCATGTTGAGTTTGACTAATCTCAATTCCAAGGAAATAAGACATTTCTCCTAGATAAGTCATTTCAAACTCATTATGCACTGCCTTCTTAAATTCTTCCAGCTGAATTGGATTGCTTCCCGTGATGAGCAAATCATCTACATATAGTGATACAATAATGAACTCCCCTTCCAGCTCTCTCACATACAATGTGTGTTCATTTGGGCTCCTCATATATCCCAAACTAATAAAGTAATCATTGATTCTACTATACCAGGCTCTAGGGGCACGTTTTAGGCCATATAATGCCTTCCTCAGCAGATAAACTTTGTTCTCTTGGCCTTCAACTTCATATCCCTCAGACTGCTCCACATAAATTTCTTCATTAGCCAACCATTCAAGAATGCAGACTTGACATCTTGCTAATAAATCCTCCCTTCAAATTGGGCTGCTAAAGCAAGGAGAAGCCTGATTGTATCATGCCTGGCCACGGGTGCAAATGTATCTGAGAAGTCTATTCCAAATTGCTGAGCAAATCCCTTGACAACCAACCTTGCTTTATGTCTATAAGTTGATCCATCTGGATTTAATTTTCTCTTATAAATCCATTTAACTTGGATCACTTTTCTGTTTGCTGGTCTGTCTACCAATTCCCAGGTGCCATTCTTATCAATCATGCTTAACTCCTCCTTCATTGCATTCCTCCAAGTATCTGACTTAGCAGCTTCATTGTAATTTGCAGGTTCAAGTAAAGCTGCATTACACCTTTCATAAACCTCTACTAGAGGTCTGGTACCTCTAACTGGAATATCTTCATTTTCATATGTCCCTTGTTGTTCATCATTTCGGTTCACTGCTGGATCTGTCAACTGCCCTATTGAGTCTTCTTCAATTTTCTTTTCCTCCCAGTTCCATACACCATTTTCATCTACTTTCACATCTCTAGTGATGTGAATTTTCTTAGTTTCTGGAGCATAAAATCTGTAAGCCTTGGATTGATCACTATAGCCAATGAAGATTCCTATCATGGCTTTGTCATCCAACTTACTTCTCTTAACTGCTGGGATAAGAGCATATATAGCATATACTTCCAAAAATTCTTAGATTTTCCACAGTAGGCTTCACCCCATACCAAGCCTCATATGGAGTTTGATTAACTAATGCCTTAGTGGGAAGTCTATTAAGTAAATAGACACCGGTGTTCACTGCCTCTGCCCAAAAAGACTTGGGCAATTTCTTCTCAACAACCATGCACCTAGCCATCTCCATAACAATCCTATTTTTTCTCTCACTGACTCCATTTTGTTGTGGAGTATAGGGACTACTAAATTGATGTTTAATTCCAACCTGCTTACAAATTGATTCAAACTCATTTGAAGTGTACTTACACCCATTATCACTTTTCACTGTTTTGATACTAAGTCCAGTTTGGTTTTCAACTTGCAGCTTAAATTCCCAAACACAATTGCAACTTCATTATTTTGTTTTAGAAAATAGACCCAGCACATCCTGTACCAATCATCAATGAACAAGACAAAGTACTTGCTCCCGTTCAATGAAGGTGTCTTCATAGGTCCACACACATCTGTGTAGATAAATTGGAGTTTCTTAGCAGCTCTCCAAGATTGGTTTATGGGAAAGGGTTGTCTACTCAATTTGCCAAGTTGACAAGTAGCACACACAACCTTAGCTTCTTCAATTTCTAGCAGATTATGGACAAGATTTTGGTCTGAATTTCTCTAAGACCATGGTAGTTGAAATGGTCAAATCTCTTGTGTCATAACTCAGACTCATTTACTTTAGCAGTATGGGCTTTAGGTTCTGATTTTTTCAGCCTAATAGGGAAGCTTTTTCCCATCATTTTAACCTTCATTAGTTCACTACCTTCATTATCAGAATTGTGCAGGATTGTCCTGGAAATTTAGGACATAATTCTTTTCTAGCATTTGTCCTACACTAAGTAAATTATGACTTATTTCTGGCACATACAAGACATTAGAAATCAGTTTAGTACTTAACCTTGTCTGCACAACAACATCTCCTTTCCTTTTGACATCCACAAAGTCTCAATTTCCAACTTTAACTCTGAAGTGATATGCCCTGTCCAGGTTGACAAAATCTTGTAAGTTTCCTGTCATGTGGTTGGTGCAGCCACTGTCTCTAGAAAGCATCCTTGCAAACCTGAGCTGCACAGCAAGATGCCACAAATAGTTGCTCAGATTCTGAATTTGGCTATTGAACTTCAACAATCTAAGCTTGCTGTGGTGGCTGGTTTGGCTTGTTTTTGCAAAATTTTTCAATGTGGCCAAATTGCTTACATGCTCTACATTGAAGGTTTGGTCTGAACCAGCACCTCTTCTCAAAGTGGCCCTTCTTCTTGTAGTGAGAACACAGTGGAAACTCCTTCATTCCACCTGATTTGTTCCACTGATTACTTGTTTTCTCCTTCTATTTCTTATCTCCAGCAAACCTTTTGTTTCCTCCCTGAACAACTTTGCCTTTAAAGCCTGCCACCATTGCACCCTCACTTGAATCCTCTTGTCTCAGCAGCCTCCTTTGCTCTTGAGCTTGCAGATCATGCACCAAATCAGTGAGTGTGATCTGTGATAGATCTTTAGAGTCCTCAAGTGATGAAATCTTGGACTCAAACCTCTTAGGTAGGCTCACCAATACTTTCTCCACAATTCTTTTGTCTGTCATTTCCTCACCCAACAATATGATTTTATTCACCACATTCATCAACCTATCCACATACTCTTTTGTTGATTTTGATTCCTGCATCTTCAGCATCTCAAACTCTCTCCTTAAGTTCAATACATCCATATTTCTAGTCGTATCACTACCACTAAACTCCTCATTGAGCTTGTCCCATGCTTCCTTGGCTGTTTCATATGCCATGATTCTTGTAAAAACAAGTTCAGTTACAGCTGTATGAATATGAGACAAAGCTCTAGGAGCTTTAGTAGCTTCCTCCTCATGAAGCCTGATTTGATTCAACGCGGGATTTGGTCCTAATGCAGGTGGTTGCTTGTTCTCTTTAACATACTGCCACAGAACTTTTCCCCTTAGGAAGGTCTTCAGTTTGACAGTCCACATGTGGTATTGTTCACCATTGAAGATTGGAGGAGTAAGGGAAGCCGTGTGTTGTGCCATTGGATCAAGTTATTTGAAGTTTGACAAAAGGTTTTACCGTAACAGAGGTTGAGAAGTTGGATAGGAGGAGATGAGTGTATCAGGCCCTTTAAGATCAATTACAGCTCTGATACCAATTGTTGGTTCTGTTGGTTCTACTGGAGAGTGATGAAGAAGAGAGATTAAGCAAAGGAAATAGATGGCAGCAACATGAAATGAGTGCTCTGTTTTTCATTCATAGACTAAGGATAATATATATACAAAACCAGTCCACTCTTCTACCTAAAACAACCTAATGTAGTGGATATTTTTACACATTTGAATTTGAAATAAACTTACAACTAAAGCATGTCTTAATCACAACTGAACCCAACTAAACATGTCACAAAAACTTCACAATAATTCATCAAAAATAGTAGCTTCAACCACTGCACCCGTAACAACAACTTGAACACTTGGCGCTAAAAACAGTTTGAAACTTTAGCTGAATATTTCTGCATTTCCAGCAAATTATCACCATCTTTAACAATCAACTGAATTTTTATCAGCACCTTCATCAAATTCAGCAGAATTCATAACTCTGAAATCTATTTGCTTCTGATGCTTTGCACGATGTCGTTCATCAAAATCTTCCCATCCTTCGCATTGTTGTCAGAAGAAAACTTTATTATCCCTTGCAGTAAAATGGGAATGAATTGTGCCACTTGATAAGTCTACAATACCTGGCGGAGGGTATCCATAATGATTTATGTATTATGAAGATCCAACGTTGAGAGTTGGGCGCACATCCTGAATAACGAATTTGGGAGGCTTTTCATAGCATTGTTACTGAGATACAAAGCCTGTATCCAAGATCAATAATTAGCCACAATTCTTGGTGGCCAATCTCGTGCTTCCTCAAAAATATACATCTAGTGCACAAGAATTGGTGAACCTCTTGATGCAAGAATTTGACTGTCCTCCAATAACAATGTCTTACGTTCTATTAAAATTGATGAAAAATTGACCAAGATGAGGCGAGAATTTATTTACAAATTACCTAGAACCTTGATATAGCAATCAGATGAAAGAGGGTAGAAAGAAAGAAATATATAACTAAAGAAGAAAGAAGGGACCTTCAAGTTATGCAAATTACAAAATTCATCTGACAACTCAAACAGATGATTTGATGAAAGATCTACCTGCACCACATGAAGATCAAGTCAAGTTAAATATCAAATTCATCATCCCTTGTTCCAGCATATATTTACCGCTCCCATGCATATTCCTTTTGGGAATTAACGTGGGTTTCTGTTCTTTATAATTTTAATTTGTTAATCTAAACTCAACATTTTTGTGTATGTGCAGGAAGATGACACGAATTATCATATGGATATGATAGCTGGGCTTGCCAAAATGAGAGCAAGAATGATTGTTTTTAGAGCTGGAGTATATTAAGAAATGAAGGCCAAAACAGACGTGAGAGAGAGTTGTAGAGAGGGAAAATTTGAACTGAAATTTTGCTCTATTTTTCTTTCATAAAACAGGGGTATTTTATACAAAACATTATCACCTAATCTTACATGGATAACAATCGGCTGCTATCACCTAAAGCTATCACATTAACATTTCAAAAATCAAACATCTTCACCAACTGCAATCTGCCCAGCAACATTCAAGCTTGGCGCCAAAAACCTGCATATTCAACCAGCAACATATTCACACATTTCCAGCAAAATATCATAAGCTTCAACAAAGAAACTATAGCATTTCTTAGGTTGACAAACTAACAGCCAAGTTTATTGCTGGAAGAATCATTCCTGCTATATATTGCAACCTCCACTGCAATGGCGAGAGGTCTTGTGTGCCTGGAGCTATACAAGGTTCTGGATGGAGGGAACAAAGTTGAAGACTACCGCAACACATTTGCTAACCTATCATTGCCTCTATTTTCCGTGGCTGTTTATTTTCTATTTTCCATAGCTTCAACAAACTATGCTTGTGTTAATTAGCGCTACATCAATGGTTTATTTTCAATACGTTGGGAGTGTGTTAGGGATCGTTCCTTTCATGAATATACGTATTTTTGGAAACATTATTATCTTGATATATAAAAATAAGATGATGGGTAAATAATATGAATATATGTGTTTTATATTCTCCAGCAAAAACCAACACATGAAGTCAGAAGCAAATTTGTTAAGAAATTTTAAGATTTTAACCCAATCCTACTTCCTATGTGATGTAGTTGATCAAAAGGAGAGTACCCTGGTAGTAATTCAACAAGTTTCAGTACTTCCAACAGAATGTTCGAGGGAGAAAATCCTATACAAAGCTAAAATCAGCCATCCTATTATAACTATTCACATATCATCAAGGTTGAATCAAATGTTACGTTCTTTTGTTCTAAATGTAAAAGCCAGATTTTTCATCTCTAACTTGAAGAACTGCCATCTGTATCCGGATAAATATCACTCAATATAATATCAACCGATTCATCAAATTCAGCAGAATTAGTAATTTCCTCTCTTCGCCCCTGACGCTCTGCACGACGGCGCTGGTCAAAATCTTCCCATCCTTCATACTGTTGCAGAAGAATACTTTAGTGTCAGTTGCAGTAAATGGGGAATAAATTGGGCCACTTGATAATTCTAATAAGTAATATACAAAACCTGCAATAGGGTATCTCTAGTGATTTCTGTATTACAAAGATCCAAATTTGATAGCTGGGCGCACATCTTGAATAACGAATTTGGGAGGCTTTTCATAGCATTGTCACTGATATCCAAAGCCTGTACAGTAATAGAAACATTGTACATAAATCAAAGATAAAAAATTAGCCACAGTTCTTGATGGCTAATTTGATGGCTAATCTCATGCCGCCTCAAGAACAAACAGCAGAAGAATTGGTGATCCTCTTGATGCAAGAATTTGACTGTCCTTCAATAATAAGACACTGTCCTCCAATGATAATGTCTTAAGTTCTATTTTAATTTAGTGAAAAATTGACCAAGATGAGGTGGGAATTTCATTTACAAACTATCTAGAACCTTGATATAGCAATTATATGAAAGAGAGTAGAAAGAAACTAATATGTAAGTAAGAAAAAAGTAGAGACCTTCAAGTTATGCGAATTGCAGAATTCATCCGGTAACTCAGACAAATAATTTGATGAAAGATCCACCTACACCACGTGAAGATCAGGTCAAATGAAATATCAAATTCATGTTATATGGATAGGAAATTATCCTTCTAGTTTGCAGCCTATGCCCAAGTAATTTACGTCGCGTTAGACATATTTTCATTCAATTAGAATTAAAAAAGAGAGAGACAAACACCAAGAATTTTACCTTGATAAGAGAAGTACAATTGCCTATACTTTCAGGAATGGAACTAATCCTGAGCAAGATAAACAAGCCAATTAAGAATCACAAAATTATGTATAGCATAGACAGGAAGAAGCATACATAGGGCAGTCTTATTCTGTTTGCACAAAAGATTTCCTACAAAAATAATTGCATCTATTTATCTATATATTACCAATTATTGTTGACATCCAAATCTTCAAGCTCAGTCAGATTTCCTATTTCAATTGGGAGGGCAGTTAAGTTGTTGTGTCCAACATCTAGCCTCTGCAGAGAAGTCAAAAGACCCAGCGTCGGAGGCAAAGTGTTCAAACTGCAGAAAAGATGTAATTCACGATAGTTAAAAAATCTGCAACAGCCATATTATGCACACATACACGGTGAAGCTAGGTTCCAGGCGTATAGCACCTTAGGGATAAAGAAAGTATCCCACATTTCACACCTCAGGTGACTTTCAAGAACAATGATTGAAGAACTCTATAGAATTAGTATGCACTTATATGAAATTTAGTAAAATAACAAAGACAGAATCATGATTTTGTAAAGTCTTAACAATTATATACATGTACAATAAGTTCATTATAGAATTTGAATTAGCTCAAATGGAACAGAGGCTGATAACATTTTGCATATTTGAGGAGGTGCAGAGACTAGACATTAGCTCCCAAGTTTGATTATTAAATTTTCCCCTCCCCATTAGTTCATCCTGTTCCTTTCTTCTTTTTTATTCTGTTACTTCAGGTAAACAGTAGAAAAACAACTCCACAACTCCATAACCAAACCACATTTACAAACAACTTTTTCTACTTGTGCTTTAAAGAAGAGCGCTTTACTATGATTAATGTCTAATTGATATATTCAAACTAGAAGGCTTCAATGAAAGGTAAACAAGCAGTAGATAGCTCAAAGAATATATATGTGTTTTGCACAGGAAAGCAGAAGACAAAAAATCTGCAAGACATATTATGCATAAATGAACAAAAAAAACTAACCAGTTTAGGGCTAAACATAGAACTTGTAGAAGCTTCAGACTTGTGAGTCCTCGCCAGCTAATGGATTCATCCGACAAATCATTTCCCGAAAGATACAATTCCTACCAAAGAATTGAGATTGAAGGATTTACTTTCATGATCTTTTAGAGGGAGGTCATTCAAATAGCTGATGTCACCAAAGTTTGGAATAGAATGGTTTTCATACCCTCAAGTCAATAAAACAATCAATCCGGTGAGGTACTTGTTGAATGGAATTGTAGCCGATATTAAGGGTTCTTATAAAAGGTGCACAAGGCCAAACTTTTTCAGGAATGTCCTATAAAGATACAATAAAGTTATCAAAGATATACCTTGCGAATACATCTAAGAGAAGGAACTTGAAAAACTCTTTGCTTTTTTGTGTTTATTTCTGATAATAATGAAATTCTACACCTCACATTTTAATTTGTTTACTTCTACATATTAGGCAACACAGAGCTCTAAGCTCCTCAAAAGTATATAAACTGACACACTGATTCTACCAACCTCAAAACCTTCCTTATTAATTATATATATTCTCCATTTAGGGAAAAACAACACTCACGTTACAGTGTAAAGCAGCTCCTTTATTTTTCAAATATCTGCGGACAGCTCTTACAAAATTGACATTCAATCGATGAACATCTATGACATTCATAGACCTGAC